CGCACATGGTGGACCACAGCATCCGAGACACCACAGGGGTCTTGCAGATGGGACAATGCGCAAGCGGCACCTCTTTGATAAAACATGCCAGACACTACAAAAGGTTGGGGTTTGGTTTGGTTTTGTTTCCGTCAAAGATAATAAGCACTAAGGTTTTGTTTGCTTTGGAATGCTTCCCTCTATAGAAAGGCACACATAAAATCACAGAATGGTTTGGGTTGGGAAGGACCTAAAGATCATCCAGTTCCAGTCCCCTGCCATGGGCATTATATTACATCTCTCAGTCTCCTTCTCTTGATGTTGTACCTCTTCCAGTTGCTTGTTGCAAAGTAGATGGTGGGGCAGAATGAGACCTCACGTGTGGAATTCAGTATCTTGTGAAGTCAGCAGTTAATTTAAATGCTAATATGTAGTCCTTTACAAAATAGGATGGATGGTTTGTGAATACACACAGAATCATAGACCACTGATACTTCTGATCTCATTTTTCACACAAACCTAAAGCAAACAGTGTTAGAAATAAGTGTGACTCTTCCCTTGAGGACCTGAACTGACATTGATAAAGGATGCTGGGATCTGGCTATATGTGAGAGAGAAATTATTAACATCACATGCTTGTTCCGTGTCCTTTTGAGGAGGGCATGTTTCCCCTCTCTGGTTTATTTGATGCTGTTCTCATGGCTGGAATACAGAGAGGTCATTAGGGTGGGGGTATGTTAGAGTACGGCTAAATCTTCACTAAGCAAGGGGAGGTTTACTTATTTGCTATCTTGGCAAATACCTCAGCTATGTTTATTCCATGGGTAAATGGGCTGCTGGGATTTATGATTAGGTTGTTCCTGTCTGGATAAGAATGCTGGGGTTTTACAACCCAACTTGCTCCCAGTTTAATTTTTAAAGTGCTGAAATGATGGTCTTGTTGAAGTAAAAAATGGGAAATGGAACTTTCTGGTTTATCTGCAAAATCATATATCCAGTCATTTCCAGAGTTGGAATTTCAGCTTTCTTGAAGAAATCTCATTTTTTTGCAGTGGCATTATTCACTCACTGAGTGAGGTTAAATGATTCAAATAGTTCTCAATTTTAACCTGGTACTTTCTCTTTCTGTTCTGAACTAACTTTCATTAGTGAGAGCTAATCCTCCAAGTCTTTAGGGTCCCAAACTCTTTCATTTCTCTGGTTCTCTTCTCTGCATGACTTGTTTGTTGGCATATCTCTGCCTTTTTTTGGTTGTCTTTAGCTACTGCTGTTTGTTTTTGCCATCTCTGATTTTCCTGTTGACTAGTTTAATTCTTTTTGTTCCAGCATGGATGGCATTAAATCCTGTCTCTTACTGTGAACAATGGATTTTTCCATATATAAATAAAGATTTAGATGACACAATTTAAATGTCTCCCTTTTGCTGCAGAATCTAATGAGTAAGTTGCTGCCAGATGGGAAAGGATGGGGTTTCTTGGTTGGTGATTAAACCCCAGCCTAGTTAGCTGGCAGGGAGACAGCATTTGGGGAATATGACTGGCTGTTGTATTCCTGGTTCCTGTGGAGTCAAAGTGATTGATGAACAGCTGTATTTCACTGTGAATTCCACATGTGCGTGCAAATGTGGGCAACCAAAGGCGATGTGGTTTTGCTAACAAACTGATGGCTGGCAAGTTCAGAGGTACCTCATGATAGAGGTAACCAGGCAAGAAGGAACAGGAACATAGCTCCTGGGTATATTCCTTTCTATAAGTTCTTCATTTCTGGATGGTTTTCTTCTATTTTTCAGTCTGTTTTGCTTATATATATCAGGGACTTTGAAACTTCATGTTGCCAGGTTAAATTATTCAACAGATTCCTTGCTTCGGGTCAGATTGCTTTGTGCTCTGTGTTTTACAACTCACCCCTGTTTATTTTGCCTTAAATACAGGAATCACATTTTTCCCTTCCCAACAACTCAGAGGCTGGCTTTAACTAATGCACATTTGCTAAACAATGATTTTAAGTGTTCTTACAATGCTATGAAAAGGATCTATACTCTGCAGCACCAGATGGCTGTTCTGTCCCAAGTACCTGAATATAAATGGCAAATATGGAACAGCACTCTTCATATACAGCATTGAATATCTTTTCTCATTCTTCCCCTTCTTATCATGGTATCTGGCATAAGGAGGAAGACAGCTCAAATTGTTGTGGTTAAATTAGCTGAGGAGGACCCTATGAGGAGTCAATACATCAGCTGGTTGATCTTAGACCATATTGCCCACTTGTTATTACAATGGGAATGCTGGGGTATGGTGTTGTGCTTGTATAAATCCGTAGATTGCAATAACCTCTGTCTAATCAAATGTATGTGCAGAAACATGTCCATGAGTGCTGTGTTCACTTAAAGTGGTGTAGAATCATACAACAGTTTGGGTTGGAAAGGACCTTAAGATCATCCAGTTCCAACACCCTGACATGGGCAGAGGGAGAACTCACACTAGACCATGTCACCCAAGGCTCTGTCTAACCTGGCCTCGAGCACTGCCAGGGATGGAGCATTCACCACTTCTTTGGGCAACCCATTCCAGCGCCTCACCACCCTTAGAGTGAAATAAACCAGACAGACTGAAAGGGCAATTTAGCCAAGAGAGATAAATGAACATTCTGGGTCTTATTTAGTAGTATTATTTGTTTGTTTCATTTTTCCTTAATCATCTTTCACTAAGGAGCTCTATGAGAGCAGAACAAAGCATTGCAGTTAATTCTGAGTTCTTCTGGTTTTACTAATCTTTGTAATTTTGTTCATTCACAAATTTTTACAAAATAAAAAAAAAAAATAAATAATCCCCAAAACTCTCCCACACTGAAAAAAATCACAACTAATTTTTTCTTATTTCCTGGCAGTGATTTACTACCACAGAGCTCGAGCGCATTCTCAAGTTACTTAAACTTCATTGCTTTTACAAAATATTCTGCAGTATTTACAAGTTAGGAATAATACCATACATAATTAAAGCTTCATTATGCTTGACAAGTGAATGAATGAAGTGAATTTTGTGATGCATTACCCAAGCTTTGGTTAGGGGGTTTGTTCTTTGGTTTATTATGATTTCTCGCAGCTTTCCGAACCTTTTGTTTCTCCTCCTTCTTCAGTTATTTAGCAGTTTGGTGTATTCGAGAATTCACAATGGGGCTCCCAGGCTTCATTGCAAGTTAATGTGATTCTCTTGCATTAGATGATTAAATGTTGTGCCACTTGTATTCTCATAACAAACTTCAGGAGAAGAGAATGGTTTCATTTTTCATCATTTTCCAAGTTTGCCAGGCTGAGGCTGAGTTCATAGAGTAGAATCATAGAATGGCTTGGGTTGGAAAGGACCTTAAGATGCTTCAGTTCCAGCCCCCTGCCATGGGCAGGGAAACATGCTAGACCATGTTTCCCAAGGCTCTGTCCTACCTGGCTTTGGACATTGCCAGGGTTGGAGCATTCACAACTCCTTTGGGTACCCTGTGCCAGCACCTCAGCACCCTCACACTAAAGAGTTCCTTCCCTATATCTAGCCTGAACTTCCCCTGTTTCAGTTTGAATACATCACCCCTTGTCCTGTCCCTACAGTCCCTGATGGAGAGTCCCTCTCTAGCATCCTTGTAGCCCCCTTCAGACACTGGAAGCTGCTCTGGGGTCTCCACAGAAGTGACTCCACAGACCTTTCAATGCAATGAACTAGAGTTGCACCAGGACCCAAGCAGATAAATGAATTCCTGTGCAGCTAGCCCTAGGAGAAACTGAACCTTAGGAAATGTTTTCAATGGTTTAGAAAGTATCCAGTGCTGGGTTCCTTAGTAAAAGGGATGCATGGAACAGGTTGCTCAGGGAAGTTGTGAATGCTCCGTCCCTGGCAGTGTTCAAGGCCAGGCTGGGCAGAGCCTTGGGTGACATGGTCTAGCATGGCCATTCTGTGATCCTATGATGAGTCTATGAAATAGTTGCTTTTCAGAATTGTGAAGGACTAAGAGAGAAAAATGATAAAAACAACAAGAGCAAACCCTTTTCTTTCTGAAAAGGTTATTGTCGATGCAGGCCATTGATCCCAGAATGGGGGTTCTTAAGCAGAAAAAGGCCATCTTTCAGCATAACATCTGATAAAATGCTATTTGTAAACTGATGTAGATATGATCAAAACCTGACTGAATCTGAAATCTCCTTATTGATAAGGCAATAAGGAAAGGCCTGTTTTGATGAAGGGATTAATTTATACATTTTCAATTGTAAAACAGAAGTAACTAGATTCAGCACTTGAATTTTCAGTTAAACCACAACAAATTGCCAGTGGATTTGTTTGCTTCATTTCTGAACATTTACCATATACAAGAGCAAATGTGAGCATATGCTGCTTTTATATGACACTGCCACTTATGAAAAGAATTAATCTAGCAGTAATAAACATCATAACATAGATACTGCTAAATGCACTAGCAGTAAGGCAACATCACAGAAAAAAAGACAAACAGAATGCATTTTGTTAAGCTGCATAAATTACAGAATCACTGAAGGTGGCAGAAAGCTCTGGAGAAACTCTAGTCCAAAACCCTTGCTCAGTCAATGAAAACGGGTTGCTTAGGGCCATGTCCACTTGGTTTTGTAGATATGTGAGGATGGAGGTTCCATAGACTGTCTGGTGAACAGTATGTCCATAGAATCATAGCATGGTTTGTGTTGGAAGGGACCTTAAAGCTCATTCAGTTCCAACCCTCTGCCATGGGCAGGGACATCTTCTACTAGACTTGGTTGCTCAAAGCCCCATCCTACCTGAACTTGAACACTTAGTCTGATCATTCTACTTGTTTCTTATAGAAAGCTTGAGTCGACTGGGTGACTTAGATCCAGCAAGGTATCTTAGAGGTCTTTCCAACCTATCCCATTCAATGATTCTGTGGTTTTGGGCTTTTGCTTTGCAAAGCTTGACTGTGGAACATGCCTTTGATGCTTGGACATTACCCATTCATCATTAACATCAGACCTTCTGTCTTTTCAGAGTGACATGTTGGATGTGAACCAGATCATTAAGGACCTGGCCTCCATGGTGCATGAGCAAGGAGACACAATAGGTAGGTATCACATTTAACGTATCAGCTTTATTACCCTCCTGTGCCATTCTAATGCTGTGTTATGTGGTCCTTCATGAGCAGTGTTTGTCAATGCTGTGGTTGTACAGTCATGTTTTGATTTGATGAGCTGCCCTGTGCAATGGGGCTCTCATCTTAAGGATAGTTAGCTGGTATATTTAGCATAAAATAGAATTCACAGGGAGATTAATCCATTCCCTTTTGACTGTAAAAAGGAAACTGGAGGAGATATAACATTAGCTGGAAAGAGATCCAATTCTTCCTTTCTATCTGGAACTGTAATTAAAAAGCAATAGTAGTAGCAATTATTGTTATGAGTATTGATGATGGGGGAGAAAACTGAGCAGCTTGCTTCTCCTAAATGGAATTTGCTTTCCACATTGCAGGGTGTGTCTGATTAAATTTACAGTAGCCTAACATCATGATGTCCTCACATGCATTGTCTGAGGTTTCTGCCCATTAGTTGACCTCTTGTTCTCTACCTATCAGTAGCGAGGAGCATGGTGGAGAAAACTTGGGAAAAGAGATGAGAGTAACCCCTAGTATTATCTTTAAGAGCAGCCCATCACTTGTGTGGTAAGACTCAGCAGAAAACCTCCTTTTAAATTCCCTCTGATCCTTGTCTTTGTTGCTGCTGTCTCCTGATGTGGCTTAGAAGACTTGTGTATCTTCTGTTTTCTTTAGGAGACTTCTATATCTTCTATTTTGTACATGTACAATAACACTATGCAGCACTTCAGAGGCAACTGTCTGCTTCCAAATAGCTCTAGTTCTAAAGCCACATCGAGGGATGTAAACTCCAGAGAAGGATTTGTGGAGATATTTCTAATGTGCAGGCTTCAGCTACAGTTCTCATTGGAGCTCCTGGGATCTGATCCTAAGACAACCATATGTAGATCATAAAGGAAGAAACTCTTCTGTGTTTTAATCACTCTGGTATTCTTTGCCAAACCTTTTCAAGTTTCCATTTAGGCTAAGGTACCTGCTTTCACACTGAAATGAGCTAGCCGTGTAAACTGAGAAACACCACTCAGGTCCCCAGGTACAGAAAGAAATCAAGTTTATATCTAAACCCAGCTTTTTAGGGTGTTGTTTATTTGCTTTAATTTATGCATGTTCAGAAGCTCATTTTTGTACATGGATAACTTTGCAGCCTGATTCATCTCCTAATAGCACATCAGATGCTCATGCCTTGAGGGACATGACAACATACATCAGCTAGCTTCAAGATCCTCCTAACTCCTTTTCTTAAGGCACTATCTATTATTTGAAGATGATGCCCATGCATAGAAGTGACCGCAGTATTAGCTTGCCTATGAGAAGCAGTTAGACTAAGCAGAATGTTTTGTCTTTCAGCCTGCATAAGTTTTCTGTTGCTTTTATATCTGACGCATTCTTCCTTCTTCCCGTTCCACTGCAGCAGACTATTAGTTTGAGTATCTTTTCAGCCTGGCAGCAAGTCAAGGTATGTTCCCAACCGATTGCTGGGAGGGCCCACTGTTTGTCTGTTGACATTCATATTACACAAAAGTAAGTGAGATTAAGAATCAGGAGGCAGAGGGAGTTGAAACCCCTACAGTGAAAACTCCAAAGCAGTGATGACAAGTTCTCTTGGCACTTGTTTTAGGTTTTTAATGTTGTCCAGGGAAAATACATAACCAGGAATATGAGATGCACCACGTAGCAAAATGCTCCCAGGGATGTAAGAGCAAACCACGCTCTGGTTCACCTGAGCCTGGGAGGCTCAATAGGAAGAGCTTGTCTGGTCTATGCATGGCACAGGCAGAGTAACCTGTACTGCTTCCAGAAACATAAAAGCAGTTTTGCTAGCATGTGGGCCAGTTCCTTAATGAAAGCAGCATAGCACTCCTGAGGGTAAAGAGCAATTTCTGTTGTGTAAGGAGGAAATAGATGAGGCAAAATGCAGATCTGGGGGCATATCTCTGCTATCTTTTGTCATCTGTAAATAAACTCCATGCATGTGTTCGTAGTCATGACATCTCTTTGATACGAGTATTTCAGTAAGCATTACTTTATCAGGGAGTCCAAGCCCTCAGAATCAAAACAAGCTAGTGGCCTAAGTTACCTTTGAGTCAACAGATACACAGTCTTTTCAATGCAATCTTACAGGAGCTATTGGCAAAAGTGTTCATGTGCAGCTTTATCTCATGGGGCGCTGGTGAAGGGAAAGTGTGTGAGGACAAGGATGCTAGTCAGACAAATCAATATCTGGCTGTGGAATTGGTGCTAGTGACACAGTTTTGAGTTTTATAACCATAGGACCCTGTTTTAGATCAGCATCTGCTTGGTAATTATCAAGGAAGGAGAGGATGACCAGCACTCAGGTCAGACAGAATTGCTAGGGCTGGGGTGCCAGAATGGTTCACTAAGTCATTGAGCAAACTCACTGCCCTCAGTGACGTGGTTTAGTTGTAACCTTGGCAGTGCTGGGGGAATAGTTGGGTTGGATGATCTTGAAGGTCTTTTCCAACCGAGTTGACTCTGTGATCATAGAATCATAGAATGGTTTGGGTTGGAAAGGACCTTAAGATGGTCCAGTTCCAAGCCCCCTGCCATGGACAGGGATACCTCCCACTTTAGTATCACGCAAAGCTACGTCCAGCCTGATCTTGAACACTGCCAGGGATGGAGCATTCACAATCTCCCTAGGCAACCCATTCCAGTGCCTCACCATCCGAACAGGAAAGAATCTCCTCCTTATATCCAATCTACACTTCCCCTGTTTAAGTTTTAACCCATTACCCCTTGTCCTGTCACTACAGTCCCTAATGAAGAGTCCCTCCCCAGCATCCCTATAGGCCCCCTTCAGATACTGGAAGCTGCTCTGAGTTCTCCACACAGCCTTCTCTTCTCCAGGCTGAACAGCCCCAACTTTCTCAGCCTAAAATTCTATGGTCCTATGTTCTTTGCTGTGAAGTTAGATCACTCTGTGCCTGTTTTACCATCATCGCCTTTCTGACCTGAAGGCTGGTTTAACACATTGACGCTGTCAAGGAAGCCAGTCAGCATCCTTCCACGTTGTCCTGGGTTTAGCAGCAGCAGCGTCCCTCCAGGAGTAGGGGGAGGGCAAGAAAGGGGGGGAGTGGGTAACAAGCTGTCTGGCATTGGTTAAACCACGACACACGTGTCCTTCTCTGGTGTGACTGCCTGAATGGCACAGCCAAGAGTCCGTTGCCAGGTGTGCTAATGCAAACTGAGCTGTAAAATTATTCAGCTGGATCCTTAAGTAAACTCTGAGTTATGTCTCTCTGTTGGGACATCTAAGGAAAATTAGCACATCTTGAGAATAGTCCCCAAATACCTGAATGTAACAGCTTTAATATCTACGTTCAGTTGAATGTGGTCTGCAGAGTCTCTGATTTGGTTACGTTTTCTAAGTGGTCTCAGAGGAGGCTATTATGTGAATGGGTACATTTATGTTCTTAGTGGTTCCTAAGGAATTGGGAAATCTTCCCATGGCTTTTTTTGTTTGTTTTCAACTGCTTTTTGAGACACAGATTACATGTGAGTACAGGGCACAGTCCATGCAGGAAGGGTATTACAAGGGGTGATGGGTTTAAACTGAAACAAGGGAGGCTCGGGTTAAATATAAGGAAGGAGTTCTTTACTGTGAGGGTTGTGAGGTACTGAAACAGGTTAACCAAAGAAGTGGTTAATGCTCCATCCATGGCAGTGTTGAAGGCCAGGTTGGACAGAGCCTTGGGTGACATGGTCTAGTGTGAGGTGGCCCTGCCCATGGCAGGGGGTTGGAACTGGATGACCTTAAGGTCCCTTCCAACCCAAACCTTTCTATTATTCTGCTATTGTGATCACTGAATCAGTGACAATCCGTTCCACTTCCCATTTGCTTCCCAAGAAACCTCCAATTCCTTTGTTCATCTGAAGTACATGCCCAGTCATCAGTTGTTCTAAGTGTAATTAAGTTTTATTGTCAACCAACCCAGCAGCTGAAATTGCATGATATTACTACCCTTAACTGCTTTGTAGGCAATAATTTTAAGGTCATGGTGTTTTATATAGAATCATAGGCTAGTTAGGATTGGGAAGGACCTTAAGGACATCCAGTTCCACCCTCCTCTGCCATGGGCAGGGACACCTCACACTAAAACATGGCACCCAAGGCTCTGTCCAACCTGGCCTTCAACAGTGCCAGGGATGGAGCATTCACAGCCTCCCTGCGCAACCCATTCTAGTGCCTCAACACCCTAGCAGGAAAGAATTTCTTCCTTATATGCAATCTAAACTTCCCCTGTTTAAGTTTTAACCCATTGCCCCTTATCACAGTATCACAGTGTGTTAGAGATTGGAAGGGACCTCAAAAGATCATCTAGTCCAATCCCCCTGCCAGAGCAGGAACACCTAGATAAGGTTACACAGGAACATGTCCAGGCGGGTTTTGAATGTCTCCAAAGAAGGAGACTCCACAACCTCCCTGGGCAGCCTGTTCCAGTGTTCCGTCACCCTCACTGAGAAGAAGTTTCTTCTCAAGTTTAAGTGGAACCTCTTGTGTTCCAGTTTGTACCCATTGCCCCTTGTCCTATCATTGTTTGCCACTGAGAAGAGCCTGGCTTCATCCTCGTGACACTCCCCCTTTATATATTTATATACACTAATAAGGTCACCCCTCAATCTCCTCTTCTCCAAACTATAGAGACCCAGCTCCCTCAGTCTTTCCTCATAAGGGAGATGCTCCACTCCCTTAATCATCTTAGTTGCCCTGCGCTGGACTCTCTCCAGCAGGTCCCTGTCCTTCTTAAACTGAGGGGCCCAGAACTGGACACAATATTCCAGATGAGGTCTCACCAGGGCTGAGTAGAGGGGAAGGAGGACCTCTCTCGACCTACTAACCACCCCCTTCTAATACACCCCAGGATGCCATTGGCCTTCTTGGCCACAAGGGCACAGTGTCGGCTCATGGTCACCCTGTCGTCCACTAGGACCCCCAGGTCCCTCTCCCTACA